TCCCAGTCCAGACTATTTCTATCTGAACTCTCCTGATTATTAGATGGGAAGAAACAAGACTAATTTTAAGAATAGCAGCTCATGTTTATGTAGTGCTTTAAGGTTTGCCAAGCGTTTGACATATATTTTGTCTCATCTGATTTTTGCAAACAACACCACTATCAGGTAGAGGGTGCTATTATTCCTATTTTATAGATGAAGAAACTGAGGCTTAGAGAGTCTGAGTGAATGACCTACCCAAGGTCACGTGGTGTCCGAGATGGAATTGGAATCTAGATATTCCTGACTTTTCACTTTGGCACTCCAGCTGCCATGCTGGGTTACTTTACTTGGCATCTTTGCAAACCTTGGTGACCATATATTTCAGCAGCAACAAAGCCTAAAAATCTACAGCCATATTCTTACATTTTCAAGTGCCTTGAAACATTTACTTTTGAGGGTAAAGCTGGAAAGATGAAATGCAGAGATTTTTCTCAGTGCAGTGGAACAAAATCAAATTATCTTCTCTTAAAATAAATGGCAGTCAGGGAAGGCAATTTTTCCTGAAAATGGATAAGAGCTAGGGAATACAAAATCAGCATTTAAAATGTGTTAACTCATAGCGTTTTAAAGAAAAGAAGCCCAAATGCAATGGATGGTTACCTGTTCTCAGGGATGATTATGGTTTCTTATTATTATATCCTAAAAAAAAACATACACACATACGTAATGTACTGGGATTGCTGAATCATAGAAATTATAAGTGAGAAAAGACTTGTTGGATCAACTTTTCAAAGAGTTCTGTCTGGAGCCTGCATTTTTTCTTATTCATAGTTATGTAATTAAATCACAGCCAGCCTTTTGCAGCTTTGGAATGGAGACTGTTTGGCTGTTTTCACTCTAGGGTCGAGCTCACAGCAAGGTTTGTTCAAAAGAAATAAAAATTCTCATGGTAGGTCACAAACCAAGACCAAAGATCTCTCAGTTTCTAGAATATTATCTGCTTTTTCTAACTTTTCTCTTAGGAATAGAAATTCTGTTATATCCCACCGAGCACCTTTCCCTTTTCAGCTCCTCTTTGTGTGTTGCATTCCCCTAAAAGAAGTTAGCTCCTTCAGGGTAGAGATTGTTTCTCTTTTTGTTTATTTTGTATTCCCACAGTGCCTGGCACATAGTAAGTACTTAATAATTCCTTCCTTCCTTCCTTCCTTCCTTCCTTCCTTCCTTCCTTCCTTCCTTCCTCCCTCCCTCCCTCCCTTCCTCCCCCTCTCTCTCCCTTCCTCCCTTCTTTCCTTCCTTCCTTCTCTCCCTCCCTGTCTTTCTCTTTCTGCCTCCCTCAAAGTGGCTGTGACGCTCAAATTAGATAGGTGAGAAATACTCAGGAAATTGCAAAGCATGACACTATTGTAAGGGGGTGTTATTCTTCTGTAATGTAACGATTTTCAGCATGCCTTGGGAGCAGTGAACCCCATGCTTGAAATGCTCTCCTTCCTGCCTCATCTCTAGCTCCTTTTGAGGCTCAGCTCAAGTGCTGCTTGCTACAAAAAGCACGTCCTGATCCTTTTCCTTCTCCCCACTTGTGAGTGCATCCTTCTGCCTCCCCTAGAATTCCATCCCAGAATTATAGAAATTCCCAAATGAAGACTAATCTGTAGCACTACTATAACAATACTAAAATGCCGATAATAACAGCAACACTAAGAGCTCACATTTATATAGCATTTTAAAATTTACGAGAGACTGTCTTTCACAAAAATCTTGTAAGGAAAGTAGTATAGGTATTGTTGTTCCCCTTTTGAAGCTGAAGGATCGCAAGTATTTTATACTTTCTGTAGTCATTTTCAGTAGAATGTTTCTATCTCTTCCTGCTGAGTTTTATTGGTATTATTAAGAAATGCTGATCATTTATTTTATATCCTGGAAATTTTGCTGAAGTTATTAATTGTTTCATTTAAATTTTTAGTTCACTCTTTACTCATGGTTATTCCTTCTATTTCTTTTTCTTGTTTTATTGCCGTAGCCATCATTTCTAGTACTATGTCAAATAGACGTAGTGACAATGGACATCTTGATTTCATCTCTCAATTTGTTAGAAAAGATTGTAGTTTATTTCCATTACAAGTAATGATAGCTTTTGGTTTTAGCTTATGTACTACTTATCATTTTAAGGAAATGCCTATTTATTCCTATGTTTTCTAGGGTTTTTAACCGTACAACCATCGGAGTGGAAAAATGACAAAAAAGGAAAGTGATCAATGACAGGGAGGCGGTGAGGAAATAGGCTCATTGATGCACTTTGGACTGGTCAGCCTGTGAATGACTCACCAGCTATTCTGGAAAACAATTTGGAATTATGCATAAAAAGTTATTAACAGTGTGTGTGCCCTTTGACCCAGCTATGCCACTGCTGGGCCTGTGTCCAAAAGAGAGCACAGAAAGAGGAAAAGGCCCTTTATATATATATAAATATTTATAGCAGCTCTATTCATGGTGGCAAAAAAGCTGGAAACTAATAGTAAATCCATAAATTGAAGAAGAGATAAACAAATTATAGTATATAATTATATAGTATATAAAATAGCACATAGTACGGGTGATAAATTACTATTGAGTAGAAAAACATGAAGAAATAGTTTTGAAAAGACATTGAAAGACTTATATGAACTGATGCAGCATGGAATAAACAGAAACAGAAGACTAATTTATATCTATAACGTCAATATCATAAAAATGAACAATTCTGAAGACTTTTATAAATGGATGAATTAAATGAATGGACAGAACCAGGAGAACAATTTATACAGTAACAGCACTGAAAAACAAACAGCTTTAAAAACTGTAAGAACCCTGATCAATACAATGGCCACTCATGATTGTAGAGGACCAGTGATGAAACATGCTATTCATGTCAGTGACAGGGTGGGTGCAGATTGAGGGATACATAATTTTTTATATAGCCATTGAGGAATTTTTTTTACTTAGTTATGCATATTTGTTACAAGAAATTTTGTTTTTTCATTTCCAAATTTTTTATGAGGTTGGGAGGTGGGAGACAGAGAAAATAGATTTCTATTCATTTAAATTCTATTAATGAGTGTGTGTGTGTGTGTGTGTGAGAGAGAGAGAGAGAGAGAGAGAGAGAGAGAGGAAGAGAGACATGGGAGTGTTTAAAAGTTGCTATAATACTAGTTTTACTTAACTATTTTACTTTGTTAAAAGAGACCTCTCATCAAGTGGTAGTGGTCTGTAAAGGTTTGCAGTGCAAATAGAAAACAGCAATACAACAATACAAAAAATAGAAAAAAAGGTTCTTCATCCAGGTCATGCCAGTCACCATGGATATTTCTTCTGTCTTGCTTGGTGATCTCAGCTGCTTCCGTGGATTTATTTTGTGAGTTTCCTTTTGGCTCTAATAGGTTTTCCAGAGTCCTTCACCAATTGCATTGTTTTTGTTTCTATCCCCACCCCACCCCAAATCTTACATGTCTGTCTGTTTCCCATGCCTAGAATGCACTCCTTCCTCATCTCTTCTTCATGCAATCCTTCTCTTCCTTCAGGATGCAGCTGAAGTACCACCTTTTATACTATATCTTTCCTGATTGCCCCAATTTTAGTGCCTGTTGTTTCTAATTACTTTAACATAACTATGTGATTTTTTTTTCTACATATACTTAAATGTTGTGCCTCTTGATAGAATGTATACTCCTTGAGAGCAGGGATTATTTCTCATTGTTTCACTTTTTGCCTCTGTATCCTGAATGCCTAGCAGAACGCCTGGCAGATAGTTGGCACTTAATTAATGCTTCGTTAGTTGGTTGATTGAACCCATGCCTTGAATCTGCATTTCTGTTACTATTCAGTTGGTATACTTTCTGAAATTACAGCACAGCATTATGCATAAAGAGATAACCTTGGAATCAGGAAGACCTAGATTTAAGTCTTGTCTCAATCCATATTGACTGTGTGACCCTGGACAAGTAACTTAACTTCTCAGTGTTCTAGGCAACTCTTTAAGACTGTGTTTTGTTCTAGACAACTCTGTAAGGTTGTATGTTGTTTGAGGCAACTCTCTAAGACTGTGTTTTGTTCTAGGCAACTCTCTTAAGGCTGTTTTTGTTCTAGGAAATTCTGTAAGGTTGTATGTTGTTCCAGGCAACTCTCTAAGGTTGTATGTTGTTCTAGGCAACTCTCTAAGGCTGTGTTTTGTTCTAGGCAACTCTATAAAGCTGTGTTTTATTCTAGGCGACTCTCTAAGGCTGTGTTTTGCAAAGAAGGCACCAGCCTGCATTGGCAAAGTTAGTTTCCTCAATGGAAGCTTACTGTAGCAATGAAATCATAGTTCCAGGTTCTATCCCTGTCTGAATTTGTAGTCTAATTCATGTTTTCCCATAAATCTGTGTGGCTGAATAGATTATGTTTACAATTCCGTTTCTCTGCTATGGCAGGTTGTTAACACCATTAGAAATTCAGAAAGTATCCTACCTGATCCTCGTTAAATAGCTTGAAAATGGCCCTGTGTAGAGGCCATAAATGAAATAAAAATTTAATAAACACTTGATTTTAAGATGTTCTTGTTGACAAGCACAATAAACATGATTAAAAACATTAGGGTGAACTGAATTAGGTGGATGTAATTTACTGGTGAGGAGGACTCGAAATTGCCTCATTCATTTCTACAGCTATGGATATTTCCAAAAGATTCAAAAGAATCATATGAGTCAGTAGAAAAATTTTATTTGGTGGGAGCACAGCTTTAGTGTCAATAAAAACCTCCATATTTTCTTTAAAAGATACGTTAATCATTTTTAATTGCTTTGTGGTTCATTAATTAAGCTCTATCTAATTGGATGTTACTGTAAAACTGCACACTTAAAGTGTAGGGTTGTTTATTTATTTTTTCCTTCTGTAGATTAGTGTGTACCCTTGCTGACCAGATGGAGCTGACTTTGATTGAATGTTCAATTCAAACATTGTCAAATTTGTAAGTAAAACATTTTATGATTTGTTTCTGTCTTTTACAGGTGGCCTTTTTGAAGATGTGATTGTTGGAGTCCGGCATTCCCCTCTCTGCAAAACAACTTTCCAACATAATGCATTTCAAAGGGGCCAGGTGTCTCTGTGGCAGGCAGCTATTTTGAAGAAAGGGGTTAAGTTATAAAAGGAAAGCATCCTGCTTAATTCTTTCTGTGTATTTGTTTGCATTTGGCAATATGCCTCCCATGGGAGTAGTTCTCAGTTGGGCCCTTTGAAAAGCCAAGGCTCTGAAGAAACTCACAGTTGTGGGTTGTCAGAAGTTGGAGATGGATACAGAAGTGACCTCCCTAACCCCTGCAGAGAAGGACATTTGGGTCTGTGCTGCGTCAGCACCACCTGGAAGGAATAGGGCTGGTTGCTGGGATATTAGCTAATGGGGACCCATCTGTCCTGTATGGAAGCTTAAGAGACAGCCCATGAGGACATCATTCAGGGAGGGCTGAGATTTGAGTGCCACAAATTTTGAGAAGCAGACTTTTAAAGAGCATCATAGATGTAGCTTTGTTTTGAAAGGAGAAAAGAAAATAGGTTATTTCTAGCTATTGTCATCAGATTAAAAAGTAAACTGCATGTTTTGTTAAACCATTTTTCATGATGCCTAATCTGTTTGTTTCCTTCCTATATTACTTTTTTTTGTACTATTGCAGTAACCTTTATAACATAGCCCCTATTCTCATAATTTTAAAATATATTGTTTTTAAAATTGTTATCTTAACAAACATTTTGATATGCAATAAAAAATTAAAAAGAAGGATCATACACGAAACTGTTAACTTCCATTATGTACAGTTGGTTTTTAAAGTGAATTTTCAATTTAACACAGGAATGAAGTAGGAAAAAAAAATTCCCCTCTCTGTGTCTCTTTCTGAACTGCTCTTTTTCTTCTGTGTATTTTTTTTAAAAGATTTGTTGCCCACTTTTCTTCCCTTTTTATTTTTATATCTCTGTTACTACCCACAAGCTTTCCCCCTACATTGAAACTCTCTCCTCTTAGCGTAATTGAACAATAATTATGTTTTATGCAATAGTTATAAATATATAAGTATAATTGAGTATTAACTATACTTGAGTAATTGTCATAAGTATGATTGAGCAAAACAAATAAACATATTCATACCCCTGCAATTTCACAATAATCTTGTTAAAACCTTATAACTAAAGTCTACAAAAAGTCACAGCAATGATGTGACCAGAGGGAATAGGCCAGATTAACCCCTGTTCCTCTTCCCCTATCCTTTAACTTCTTTCTCAGGACAGTCCTTGCGTGGGACGTTATGGCCCTACTCTTCTCTATTATGGAACTAATTGCCCCTAAATGTTGCTTCTCCCTACATCATGTTTTTGTTGAACCAATTTTTAGCTGAAGTATGCCTGTATTACCCTCTAGCAATGGCGTGGTCCAGATGACCCAATATATACATACATGTGTATCTCATCCTTCTTCCTATGTAAAAATAATTGTTATTCATGTGTTCCAGGGCAAGTGACAGGATCTTATTTCAGTTCTCTGGGATGCATAATTTCATCCATATGGATCCTAGATCTAGAATTTACCACAATATGGCAAGGCAGTCCTTTTCCATTTTCCTAATTAACTCACTATCCCACTCACCACTCTTGCAGCTATTTCCACTCTTTTTCATCCCTCTTCAAACCTCCTGTGGCTGCCTTGCCCCTGCCCTCTCTACTTAGAACTTTGCCTTATATTTTATTGAAAAAATGGACGCCATTTGACAAGAACTCCCTCTTTTCCCCTCTTCATCTCATATCTCTCAGATGCCTTATGTCACTTTCTTCTCCAGCTCCTTTTGCAGGTGAGGAATCAAGGTGGACAGGGTTAAGTGATTTGCCCAGGATCACTCAGCTAGTAAGTGTCGGAGACTGTATTTGAACTCACAAAGATGTGTCTTCCTTATTCCAGGCCTGGCACTCTATCCACTGAGCCACCTAGGTGCCCCATTCCCTTTTTAACTCTGTACAATCTGGCTAATGTTTTGTTATTCAACCAAAATGGTTCCTTCCAAAGTAACCACTGGTTTCTTAGTTGACAAATCTAATAGTCTTTTTCAATTTTTATCCTTCTTTACCTTTGCAGCCTTGGACACTATTGATCACCTTCTTCTCTGTAAGTTTTCATGACAGTACTCTGATTCTTTTCCAAAGTCTGACTGACCACTCCTCAGTCTCCTTTCCTATAACTTCATCCAGGTCATATCCAGTAAAGGTGGATGTCCCCTGGGGCTCTGTACTGGGACTTTTTCTCCATCTGTATTGTTTTACGAGGTGGTCTCATCAGCTCTCCTGGATTCAGTGATCATCTCTATGCTGCTGATTCTCAGATCAACTCATCCAGCCCTAATCTTTCTGCTGGCTTCCAATCTCCCATCTCCAACTGCTTATTGGACATCTCAAACTGGATGTCCCATCTTAAACTCAATGTGTCCAAATATAAACTCATCTTACCCTCTAAACCTTCCCCTCTTCCAAAGTTCCCTATTGCTGTTAAGGGCACACCACCTTCCTTCCAGTTATGCAGGCTCGCAAACTAAGTGTCTCTCAACTCCTTACTTACTGTCACTCCCCATAGCCAGTCTATTGTCAAGTTCTGCCTGTTTTCCCTTTGTAAAATCTCTTGCGTGTGCCCCCTTGTCTCATCTGGCACTGCCACCATCCCAATGTAGGCTCTCGTCTCCTCATGCCTGGACTATTGCAGTAGCCTTTTTGTTGGTGTCTCTGTCTTATGTCTCTTTTTACTCCAGTCCATTCTCCATCGGCTGTCAAATTAATCTTACTAAAGTACAGATCTGATCGGGTCACTATCAACCCCTCCCTGTCATTCAATAAACACAAGTAGTTCCCTTATCATGTCCAGGATCAAATATAAAATTCACTTTAGCATTGAAAGACCTTCATAACCTGACCCTTTCTTATCTTTCCAGTCTTCTTATACCTTATCCTGCTTTTCCCTCACCCTCCCTATGTTTTCTGTGACTCTGGCGTTTTTGTGGTTCCACACAAGACCCTCCATGCCCAGAATTCTCTCCCTCCTCATCTCCTGGCTTTCTTGGCTTCTTTCAAATCTCAGATGAAATCCCCATTTCCCTAACCCCCTTAATTCTAGTGCCTTCCCCTATTGATTGTCTTCAGCTTATCTTGTCTGCATCTCGTTTGTATGAGTTGTTTGCCTATTATCTTCCCCCATTAGATTGTGGGCTTCTGGAGAGCGGGGATTGTCTTTCGCCTTTCTTTATTACAAGTGCTTAGCAGAGTGCTTGGCACATAGTAGGTGCTTGATAATTGGTTATTAACTGACTTAATAGACCATTTAGTCCAACTCCCTTGTTTTATACATAAAGAAACTGAAGCCCAGATAGGTCATACAGGTATTAAGTATCAGAGACAAGATTTTGACTCACATCTTCTCGACTGAGAGCCAGTGCTCTCTCCACTGTACCACAGGCCTTCCTCTATTGAGGAAGGATGGGGGGCAGAAAACCAAACTTCTTAGCTATCAAGTTCATTACTAAATCTCTCCATACTAGAGAATTTAATTTTCTGGATGTTGTAAATCCTTATTTCTTTTTCATTGTTACTGACTCTCAGGAAAGCAGAATTTGTTCATTGAATTTGATTCTGGTTCTGCCCTCACATTTTTTATTCATTTATTCTCAAATGCCCCTTTTCTATTGCTTTCTGTCCCTACCGCTACTTTTCTACTACTTATATTTTTTAAAATAAAAATTTTAACACTTAAATCTCCCCCTGTATTCCTTTTAACTCTCCCTGAGAGGCATCCCTATATAACAAATAATATTTTTGAAAAGGAAAAAAACCCCAATATATTAAAAAAAAATCTGACAATGAATATAGTGTTCCAAAACTATTTATTTCATACCTCGGCAGAAGGGTATGTGTGTACATATGTGCGTGCATGGAATGGGTGGGGAATGAGGATGTATCTTCTCATCTCTCTTCTTTGGGACTATGCTTGGTCATTTTGTAACATCTACTTTTTTTTTTCTTGAGGCAGTTGGGGTTAAGTGACTTGCCCAGGGTCACACAGCTAGTAAATGTCTGAGGCTGGATTTGAGCACAGCTCTTTCTGACTCCAGGGCAGTACTCTTATCTACTGCACCACCTAGCTGCCCCTGTAACATCTACTTTTAATTGTGGTGACTTTCTATTTACATCATTGTATATATTGTTTCTTGGCTCTGATTACTTCACTTTGTATCAATTCATGTAAGTCTTTCCATACTTCTCTATATTCATCCATTACTTGTCTTTTTGACCTCAGTTTTCCTTAAAATGAAGAAGGCAGTACTTTTACCCCTGAAGTGTAGCACTTCAAAGATCTATACTTTTGTCAATGTAGGAACTCTTCCACTCCATCTCAGTTGAGGGTTTTCAGGAGGTCCCGTGAACCAGAAGCTCACCTTATGGTCAACCTAATAACGAACTTCTGAGAATTTAGCTAAGCTGGTCCTCAAACAGCAGGCCTACAGTATGTCCCATATTCAAAGCCTTCCCAGCTTAGAAGGAATTGACAGAGGTTTTGCCTTGGTAGCATAACCTTCAAGAATCCAGAATAACCCAAGTACCTTAAAGAAGCATCAAAACAAGCAGGAAGGATTTTGGTGAAATTAAGAATACTCAAAGGCATCTGGGATCTTATGTATTTGGGTGTTGCTTCCAATGGTGCAGATTGTATCCTATCTCTGTCTGCCTGTCCTGTATAACACTTGTGTAAGTCCGCCCATAGATTTTACAAAGGGGGGTCCCTCCAGTGTTCTAGGGTCATCCTTCCTTTTGACATCAGAGGGATACCAGTGGAATACTTGAATTGTCCACCTATCACCCATTGCTTTTACCATGTGACTAGCCCATCCTATGAAGAAAGTTGAGTTAAATATTTAACTCTTCATGATTTAATTCTTTACAATCCAACTCCTTAGAATCGATCAACAGTTATTAATAGCCAAGGGTCTACTATGGTCAAAATTTAGTCTGATCTCTCTCCTCAGAGGATTTTGTTGTTGTTTAGTCATTTTTCAGTTGTGTCCGACTCTACGTGATCTCATTTGGGGTTTTCTTGGCAGAGATATTGGAGTAACTTGCCATTTTCTTTTCCAGTTCATTTTACAGATAAGAAAACTGAGGCAAACAGGGTTAAATAACTGGTCCAGGGTCACACAGCTAGTAAGTGTCTGAGGCCAGATTCTAACTCAGGAAGATGGGTCATCCTGACTTCAGGCCTGATACTCTATCTATTGTACCACCCTGCCCCAAAAGAGTAGGTGAAGGGATTTGAAGATCACTTCTCCACACTCCAGGGTTGGTTTTTTTTTTTTAAATAAATTTTATTTATGCCTTTTTTACATCACCTACATTTTCTAATGCATGCCTTGCCTTTGCCCTCTACTCCAAGTGCCATCTGTTATATTAGAGAATTAAAAGGAGGAAAATGAAACAGTTCAGGGAAACTAAGCAACATATTAAAAAAAATGAAAAAAACCTGATATTCCATGCATTTCTATGCTATAGTCTTACACCATTGGGAAAAAAAATGGGGGAAGGTGCTTTCTCATATCTCTTCTTTAGTGCTGAGCTTGGTCATTATAATTTCACAGCACTCATTTTCCATTCACACTATTGGCAATCAT